AATCAGGGTGGGCTGCCCATGTATGTAGCCAGTCATGGTTTATACAACTGAAAGCCTCCAACAGTGTTTGTACCACCATCAATCAAAGAAGATGTTGAGAAGCTGTTTGAAATTAATAGGGCAATGGGCCAAGTGGAACTAAACCTTGATTTGCTAGCACTAGATGTTGGTATGTAGCTTTGGTTAGAAAGTTCTGTAACTCTTTGACATTTATAATCTTTATAATGAATATTGCCAACTTGACTTCAGGTGAAACATATGAATTGTGGAATGACATTGTTGTGAGACCTTTTAGAACTCACCATGTTATACCAAGCCAGGTATCTTTAACTTTTAATTCTGTGAATTGTGCAGAAAATATAGAAAAAGTATATATATTATTTATTTGTGAATGTTCAAATCTCTGAATTAGATAAATAAATTGGAAACCCATTCTTGAGAGATAAAATTGTGATCCACCCATAAATAAGTTTTACCTTTGATATCTTCTGCACAGTTGGAGGTCACTGCATTATCTCAGACTGGACGAATTTTATTTCTTCTGTTTCTTTGTTCTGCTGAATTTCTTATTTTTTTTCTGGGCTTCTGGGGAAAATGCATCTTGTTGCTAGCTTCACTCCTGTTGATATTCTTGGAAGTTTAGTTTTTGCATTGGAGATTATACAATTACTTGGTTTTGTTCAGGGTTATGTCATTTACTCTGTGAGAAAGAAGCTGAAGAAGGAATACATTCATCTGAAAGGCAAAAAGATTGAGAAATTGAAGAAATCTGGTGTTGAGGTTTGCACCTTAAATGAAATACTTTGGTTCAATTTTTTCTTTATCAGGTACTCATTTGACTTGAGACCTCCCTGTACAGATTACGGACATTATATTGTCTCCTGAGGTGGCATTTACTGGAGATACAACATCAGACTACATGCTTGATACACGAAATGTGGATTCCTTGAGGGCAAACATTCTTGTAACTGAGGTATTGGCCAAATCAAATACCGTCTTTTTCCTCAATTTAATTTATATTTTGGTCATTTTTGTGGGTTTTCTGGGGTTAAAACCTATGACATTTTGTCAAATTTCCAAATAAATTGCCTTTACCTTGTGGCAAGTTTGGCACAATATGCTATCTAGATGTTAAGCAGTTTCAATTGCTGAAATGGTGGAATCAATTTCGAAAGTCTAATAGACAGTCACCAAACATGTCGTATTAAAGGCAAAAATGACTTTACTTTGTGCACCCTTCTAGTATAACATAGGTGAATGTAAGTGTGAAACGTCTTATACATTCATGCACAATTAGTTGTATTAGTCCAATGGATGGAATTTTTTGTTCATTTCATTATGTGTAAGAAACAGCTGTCTTGATAAAGAGTGATAAATGTAAAACATAATCTGCACTTAGCCTACCTAAATGTCTCCTTAAAATTTGAGAATCAGAAAAGTTGGAAAAAAGTTCCTAGCATAGGTGTACAAGTCTTCATTCCCTAGCTATTGGTGTTCTTGAAATCACAGCTATTACAGAAGAGGATGCCTGGTCACATTTGGGCAGACAATGGTCTGTATGTTGCAGTGATATCATAATAAACTTGTTATGTGTAGTGTTTGCTTTCTGTTTCCTCTTTCATCCTATTCCTTGAATTAA